AGTCTGACCCAGAGAGAAAGTTGTTTTTCCAGTCTATGTAATGGCATCTAACTTAAGTCATCCTACTTAGGGATGAGAAATTTAAAGTAAGGTTCTGGATACTAAAAGATAAGGCTATTGATAAGATACCTGAAAAGCATGAAAAGAAATTAGATGTCTCCTTCAGAAATCAGGCTTTTCCTCAATCTCTTCCTCAGCAGTATTACATGGAGAAATGCTTCCTTCTGTACAGGCACTTTTCTAGTGGTTAAAGAAATTAATGAAGTCTGAGACAGACCTTTAAGTCTTGTTTCTTGGCTGCTCCTAATAGACTGCATGAACTCAATCATACAGTTTTACATCCCTGAACTTCACCTTATTTCTCTGTAAGACAGCCTTCTGCTTTCAATGTTACATACCTCATACAGCCTTGTGAGGACAGACTTTATGTAAAGCCAGCAAAGATTTGCTGGGGGAAAAAAGTGTGGTGTAATCATAACATCTTAGAGTTATTATCTTTTGCCATTAAAAGAATTGTACTTTTGCATGTGAGAAAGGGAAGAAGGAAAGATGCTCATTAGCAGCTTCCTTCCTCAGGCTCTGAGCTTCCAGGGGCTCCTCTCTGAGAAGTGTGAGCACAGCTGCAGTCCCACAGTAGCTTCAGCTGATGGAACAGCTGCCTCTGAGGTGCAGTGCCATCATCTGCCCCTGTCCCTCAGCCCCACTCCATTCCCTCCATCCCCTACGCTGGCCTGGATGGTCTCTGCTCCTTTGTGGAGCCATTTTAAGGTGTGAACGTGCAAGAAATCTACCTGTGACCTTTTGTTTGTGGAGATGAGGAAGGCTGTGTGACAGGCAGGAAGTGTGGCAGGACACAGGTGCTGCAGGAGAGGGGCAGGGTGGTGGGACAGGACAGCAGAAGTAGCTGTGGTGGCCAGAAGACACAGTGACTGAGTCTGCCAAGGAGCCACAGCCTTTCCCTTCAAACCAGAACTTCCTGGTGTGGTGGAAGCTCCTGCTGAGACTGCCTGGCTTCCCTAGAGCCCCACAAACACCAGTGTTGCCCTGACTGCTGGGGAAGTGCAAGAATGAAGAGGAGGAAGGAGAGGAGTGAGGATGCTGTAAGATGAGACTAAAATCAAGAATAACTTTAGGAGATAGAAATAGGAGTCTGAGAGTACCATGGAGAAAATGCTGATTCATGGCTCTGCAAAGTTGACCAGACTGGGGTTATTAGGAGTTTATCTAATAGTCTGAATATACCATTTTCCCACAGTAGTGCCAGATTTGCTCAATTTTTAAACTCTGCAAGGAGTTCTAGTCCTTCCTCCCTCCCTTAGAAAGGACAAAGTTGAATTAAGAAAAGCTGAGAGAAGGGCAGCAAGGATGAGAAAAGTATAGGACACCTCACCCTTTTCTAAGGGGAGAGGCAAAACAGAATAATCACCCTGGAGTCTGGAAAAGAGACCTGGCAAGGGAAGAGAGGAGCTGTTGGTTTGTTCCCCTTCATGGGGACATCACTGATGTGGCTGATGGGAAAGAAGAAAGTGAAGAAAGAGGTGTTTCACTATTACTTGCTAAAAAGGGGGGTGAACACCCAGACAAATTACAAAGACAGGGTGATTTGGGTTGAAAGGAATCCCTGGATATATTCTGGTCCAAACTTCTCTCTAAGCACGGCCAGTTTAAATCAGAATTTGTTCCTTGGTTTTGAATGTAGGATGCAGATCCTACAGCCTCTCTGGGCAACCTTTTCTAGTGTTATCAGACTGAAGACCTGAAGCAAATTAAGAAAGTGATTCCTGCACTGATACATCATTGGATATGTTTTACTCATAGGATGCTATGGAGTGGAAAGTCTGAGTTGCTTCATAAGATGACCAAAACACAAAAAGAAAAACACTTCCTGAGCTACTAAAACTGTGAGCACATCTGGCTTGAGGCAGCATGTTGAGGAATCCACATGATTCCCACCACAATTTATTTGTCCTCTGCCCTGAGACACCTACTACTGACCACTGTCAAAGGTCAAGTATTGGTTTTGATCTACACAGCATGATGGTCTTTGGTCTGGTCAGTGGGTGGCCCCAGCCTGGCAACACATCAAGCAGGTGAAAATGGACTGGAGCTCGTAATGCTGCCTTCAGTTTTCACAGGACAGATGCCCAGGCAGGTTCGGACCTATTTCCATCAAGCATTAAAAGTTGGTTTCATAACATCTATTTTTCTGTCAAACTTTGTGAATAAAACAGTGCAGGAAGATGTCGTGACTAAAGCAAAGCTTTTTATTCAGGCAGCAGATGAAGTGCGTTCATTTTAGAAAGGAGTAGGAGTCAGAAGAACATTCAGCTTAAGCAGGCAGACCAACCCTGGTTAAACTTAAGGGAAAAGCAGTGACACCAGGCCCTGCATATCTGATGTGAAAGACTAGGAGTACAATACTGGATTTATTGTTCAGGTTATACATTATCCCAGAAAACTGTGGTTTTATAGTAGTGGCATCTGACCACTTGCTATCAAGAAAGAACTTGAAAGTGCTGCACGATAGGAAAACTGTTCTTTTCTTGTGGCAGTTATTTTTATTGACAAGCTTTCAGACACCATGAAAGAGTCCACTGGTACTCAGCAGCAAAATACTGTTCACAGCCAGCCAGAGGAAGATTGAAGGCATGAACAACGAAGCAAATGAATACCCTGCTGCCTCTCTGCACACATAGCTGCTTGTTCAGCCTTCAAAAATAAGTAAATAAAATTTGCAGGTGTTTGGATTCAGAGATAAGATGATTCCTCAGTGAAGGAATATGTTCCATTTGTTGGATGCAATGTGCTGCATCTTGCAGCAGAGGTGCTTCTTTCTGCAGTGTGTCATCTGGAGCAGAGCCCCCTCACTCTCACATCAGACCCCTCCTTTCCCACTCACAGGAGTTGATAATCTCTTTGTTGCAGAAACATTAATTGATTGCTTGGGGGAAAAATACATTGAGAAGTCATGCAATGCTTTATTTATAAGTTAGTTGTTGCTTTTCCTCCTGTGAAATGCTTTCACTTCTGGTGGTTGATTGTTAAGGAGAGCAGTGCTGTGATCACAGGCAAAGGCTTTCTGGTGTCTCTGTCTTCTTGCTCTAATTTCTGCTGTTCCCTATGCCGAGCTCTGCTGCAAAGGGAAGTTCTGCACCAGCTGGGGTGGTGTCCAGGGCTCAGGTATGGCAGAAACCAGGGGCTCTGCAGGGCACAAGGGCTCAGCAGGCAAGGGATGAGCCAAGGGACCTGTGACAGGCGAGGTGCCTGGATCTGCAACTCCAGCTCCAGAGACAGTGTTCCCAGAAATGTCATGGCTGAGACATGGTGGATGCGCAGGTGGAGTGATCTCAGCCAGGTGTCATGGACACCAGCTACACCACATCACCCAGTGTCTGAGCCTGTGAGCAAGAAGATAGCCTCATTTCCCCTCCACGTGCACTTGCAGGAAAAGAGGAAGCCTAATCTGTGTCCAGTGAGGCTCCACCTCAGATGAGCAGCTCTGGAGCCAGGACTCGTTCTGGATGGCAAGGGAAGGGCAAGCTGGATGCCCAAGCCTGCACATTGCAAAGATGGTGAGACAATGAGCACGCATGTTATTTTGTTTTTGCAGCTTGTATCTTACCCAAGCCTTTATTTTTAGTTAGAACAAGAGAAATGGCAAAGCTTTTAGGAAGATCAGTTTCTCTAATGACTCACCAAGTGCTACAAAGTCAAAACAGGTTGCTTGTGCTTGAAAGGTATAAAACATGTCATTTTTGTGGTTACTGTACAAAACACTGCATATATGCATGCAAGGGAACATTTTAAAATCTCATAGAGGTTTTTTCTCGTGCAGCTAGAGGCTCCTTTTTCCTGTTCTTTTATTCGTGTGTCATGATTTGTATTAAGCGTTATTGCTTTAGCAATTAAGCAAATTTTCTCACTGCACTCTGCCAGTCAGTGTTGCTCCTTTATACTCCCAAAAGAAAGGAGGTACATCAACTTGATGTACCAGTGTCCCAAAACAGCTCCTTTTTCAGTCCACTAAAGTCTTTTCATTGGTGTTAAAAGGGGTATCAATTTCTGTAAGCACTGGGGAATGAGTAATACCTGCATCTGACCTCCAGTAAAGACCTGCACGTCCATCCAATGTCTGTTACATAATGCTATTTTCAATAACATTAATACACCTACATTTCTTTAATGTCTTTCATTCCAAATGAAATTTCACCACCATAGTGGAAAATGTGCCTTTACTCTTGTAATTACACAAGATTTGACAAGAAAAATATCCCTTTCAGCAAAGTCTGACAGAAAAACAAAATTCCAAGGAAATAGAATATCTTGTAATGCAATTAGAGATTTTTGCAAAGAACTTTTGAGGGAAATACTCTGATTTCTTTAGAACAAGACGGCCATTTTAGGATTTTCCATTAGTTTCTTATCTCCCCCACCTTTTAAAATTTTTAAAAAAGTATTATTTTATGGAACAGAAAGCATCCATAGTTACTTAAGCCCATAAAGGATATAAAAGAATATAAATAGTAACATGTGATATTTCCTTGGGTGGAGAATAATTCTTGTACACCACATTCCTTTTGCAAGCTAAGGGATGCCTCTGCTACAGCACCTGAGCGTGAGCTGCAGACAAAGGATGCTCAAGACATCCCTGAATTGTTTTTAGAACTGCCTGAAATGGACTCTGAAATGAGTTTATCTGATGGGTTAAAGCAGCAATGCATACAAGAAGTACCTCACATCCTTGAGATCCTTGGTTTCTTTGTGCAGAGGTAAGTTACCAAATCCCTGGTAGGATTCTACAGGTGAAATGGCCTTTTTCCTCCTCTTCCTTCCTGCTGGGGAACTGTGCCAACTAGTTACTCAGGGAATTTGTCCTTCTTACCATGCTGGTTACAGGATGAGCGTTTCTTGATGAAGATGTCTTGACGATGGGGATGAAGTCAAAATTTAACCACACACTTCCCTTGCAACACTGGCTTCACAAGGGCACTTCCCCTCCCTGGTCCAGGGGGAGGTGTTACAAAAACAGGTGGAGTTTTAACATCACTCCCTTATGGCACTGTGGAGGAAGTCAGATTCTATGGGGTTTTTTCATTGTTGTTCTGAGACCTCCACCCATTGTTAGAAAATGGAAAGAGTTAAATGTGGTGGCTTTTGGGAGTGCCTTCCCACCTCGGTGCAGGTATTTCCTGCCCGACAGCTCAAAAATGGTAATTCATGGAACAGGATGCACATTACTTTCTGCTCTCTGCTCATTAAAAAGTCAATGATGACAGACATGATCTCCAGAGTGGCTGTTCTGTGCCTTTGCCATGGTTCTGGCCTTGCTGGTGAGTATCAGGACACAGTTCCAGGACCCAGCCACACATTGTAGGGGCAGAAAGAAGAGCTCTGAATGCCTTTGGACCCTCCAGTGCCTAATCCTATTTACATCCTGATGTGGTCAGAGAAACATTTGACTAAAGCAGTCTTCAGGTTCTGAGAGAAAGGTGCTGACCTATGTCTTGTGCAATGCCACAGAAGGGGGACAACCCCAGCAGGGAGGAGTTTTACAGCAGAGTGATGGAAAGGTGGGCTTGCTGCCCATGGATGGTTGACCTGCACCCCAAACTTCCCCAGGACTGGCCCAGTAACTGCTCTAGGCTCTTGCAAACGTGGCTTGCATGTTGTCTTCCAGGACTACTGAGCTGCTCTGCTTCTTCAAGATCTTTAAATTTGGGTTTCCCCACAGCCAGACCTTTCTCAAACTGCTTAGCTTTTTTTTCCTAGCACACCCACATAATTACTCCAGCACAAAGAGTGGGCTTGTGAAGCAGCAGCATTTTAAAAAACCACAAACTCTGATCTCAAGGCAATCTTTCCCTCCCACTTCCTCCCCCTTCAAGCAGGGGTGTCAGCCGTGCTGTTTCTTTCAAACTTTCTCTGAGTCATCTCATCAGGCAGCTTGTAAATACTTGAATGCATCCATCAATGTCAAGTCAAAGTAAGTAAGTAGCAGCACATGCTATGCAATGGACTTTCCCTTGCTCACATTTCTCTCATTTTCAGGGATGCAGAGAATTTAGGGGTGACCCTATCTCCCTGTACCATCAGCATACAAACAGAGATGACATCAAAGATATTGTCTCATCATGAGAACAAGATACCAGAAATAAGGTGAGCTGCTTAAATTCAAGAAGGCTTCAACTCTTCTGAAGCTCCCACTACTGTATTATTCAGAGTGGAATGCCTTCATTTAAGATGCTCCATTCATTTCATCCTAAACCTAAGAAATTTGAGGAGCTGCATTACCAGCATGCCTTTGAGAATTTGAGAATGTGTCATTGCTAACCATTTTGGACCAGCTGGTCACAGCATTATGAACTGTTGCTAGAAAAATATTATATTTTCATATTACAAGGGTGCAATTTGCTGTGTCATCGTTGTGTACTAAAATCTGAAAGGCAGAATGTGATTCAGAGGGTTCATGGAACACAAACCACCTCCTCAGAAGGCGAAAATCTTTGCTGAAGAGCAACATTGCTCCCAAGTATAACTGATAAATATGTGACTCTCGTCGTGAGCTAAATGGCAAAATATGGACCCTGCACCAAGGCTTTGCTTAGCATGGTGCATAATTCCCTAGTTTGTCTGCTAGAGGGCTGGTTTATGGTAATGAAATCATGGCAGGGGGAAGGAAGGAAAAGTCTTGCAAAATTTCTGAGTTATTCCCTCCAGATGGCTTGGAAGGAAGGTCTGGTGTCATCATGATATTTGCCTAATAAGTCTGAAATGATCAGTTGAGGTGGATGAGTGTACTCTCAAATGAGTATATGTGTGGAAATATGCTCCTCCCCAGCCCTTCCACCCAGACAGGTTCGTTATGTGTGAAAATTACATTGTAAGCCAGGAACTCAAGCTCAGTGCTGCCTTATGGAGTAGACTGGGGGAAAATTGGCTGAGTAAGAAAAATGTTATACTGCAAAATGGAAGGGAAGGTGTTCTGAATACTCTTCCTCCTCTCTGCTCCAGCCTCCTCTCTGCTCAGTGAGAGCTGAGCACAAGTCCTGCTGTGAGGAGCATGTCACTCATATCTGCTGTGCTTTTAAAACATAAGGCATTGAGATCTCTCTCTAAATTCAGTGGCCTGTCAGAGTAAGGTACTGATTAAGGTGAGTACAGATGATAGAACTGATCCATAAGCAATTTTTCCCTGCCATGACCAAGAAACATTTTGAAGATTGCCCTTCCCTCTTTTTTTCTCAGGGAGTGCAAGTTGAAAATCAGGATAATTGCACAGCAAAAATGCTTTCCATCTCACTCCTTTATTTACCTTTTTTTTCATGATTTCCTTCCACTCCCAGGTGAAGGAATGTAGGCTGTTTGAAGAGCTGATCTGCTCGGGTGGGGCATTAACTTAATTTGAAGCATTGCTGAATATTTAGTCATGCTCTGTAGGAGTATTAGAATCAGAAAATTCTTGGATTCCTAACAAACTCTGCACGTGTACGTGATCTCCAGAAAGAGAACAAGTGTTTAAAAACAAGGCTCTGTACACAATTCTGAAGTAATTTAAATATAAGATATATATATATATATATATATAATTTAAGTTAGAAACATCTTGCAGTACTACATTACTGACAGCTGAAAGTCAGACACCAACTGTGATGGCAGAGATCTGTAAAGTGCTTTAGGGAAAAATTACTAACTGGTATAAATCTGATTTTAAAATAAAGATAGCACAAAGAGAAGTTTGAGTTAATTTAAATAGAACATGCCATTTACAAACAGAAATCTCTTTCCAATGGTCAAACTGGTCAACCAACAGTGGTTTATGAAGGTAGCTCTCTTATTTTTAAATCCATTAGCCTGTGCTGTGGCACATGACATCTTGTTTTTCTGACTTACATCTTCAAATCAGGACACTTCCCAAGTCTGCTAAGGACTATAGCTGGGTCAGAACTGAATTTTTCTTCTTGAAAAGATTTTGTGTTTTCAAAAAAATTTTCCCATTTTGGACAAGGATGAACATGAGCACTTAAATGAGTGTTTAATCCAGGACTTACAGAAGTGCTTTCAGTATGGAATCATTTTGTCTTCCATTTTCTCAGAGTAATAGAAGTATCTTTTTAGAGAAGCATAAGTACCTGATTAAGTGATAGCTTTATAAACAGGCCCATTTCTGATCCTGCAGACTCAGACCAGAGATGAAAGTCACACAATGCATACTGGAGTGGTGTGCAACAGGAACTGGACCCAGCATTTTCAAACCAGGTCCATTCATAGTTCACAAACACTGGCTTCTGGCTCTTTCAATATCAGATTTCAGAGGAAGGTAGAAATTGTAAAGCACAAATACTTTATAGTGGATACACTTTCACTGTGTCAAAAATGAGCTCAAAGCTGATGGTGGATGACAGATTGGCTGATTTATCCAGCTTCCATGGACAATTTTCCAGCTGTAGCTCCAGAGCCATAGTCAATATGTAGTCATCTAACTACTTCCTGGAGAGGCATAATGAAGTAATTAGCTGCCTAAGCTCTATCAGATATACTTGCCCCTATGTGCCCACAAAACTGCTCCTGTGAAAGTCGAAACATAAATCTGGGAGGGACTCCAGGCCCTAATTTGTGTTCACAATCAAAGTGAGGCAAAGGCAGCTGCTGTATCAAAAACTCCCCCCAACTTCCATTGTCGAAGGCAAATTGGCTTTCAGGTATTAATGGCCATTACCCAATCTCTCACCATTTGCAGTGGCTGAGAGCAGCTCCCCCACAAAGCCACACAAGCATCATTCCCTCTCACACACCACATTGACTTCAGCACCAAGGTGCATCTCATGCCCTGACTTATCTTGGGACGTGCTGCCTATGAATAATTCAGGACATCTCCAGACAAGTTTACCGTTTCAGTCCAAGTGAATAAGCAGCAGTAACAAATTCGATGCGAAAGTGTAGCAACAGACTGCCTAGCTAGTGCAAGGCAAGGAAGGTTTCCATGGACACACTTCTGCTCTGTTAGGAGGCTTCAAGAGAGAAACGCAGCGTGAGTGGAGCAGGTTAAGGATATAAGAGAGGATGGACTGTTCCAGAGAGCAGCACCAGTTGTGTTTGCCTGGCCAGTGGGGCAGGAATGTGTGCTGAGAGCTGGAGGCAGCTGGCAGGATGAAGGCTGTGCAATGTTCCCATCCCTGCAGTCTGGGGCTGCTCCGAGTTTTGCCGGCGTGCTGTGCGTATTAATCACTGCTGGTGTGACAATGGGCTGCACTCCTGGCACTGCAGCTGTGCCAGATGCTCGGAGCTCGGGTGCCAAGTCACACCGTGCAGGACATGGTCACACGCAGACAGACCTGGGCGCATGAATCCTTCGGGAGTGTAGACACTTTGTTATAATATTGAATTGTTTTTGGGTACATAGCTTCCTGGCTTTAACTTTTTTAGCCAGAAATTGTAGCAACCAGCTCAGAGGCTTATGTTAGAAACAGGCAGAATTCTTGTGACAATGTGTTTGGCAAAGATAACACTCAGCAGATTTCAAGGACATTTTGACAGGAAACTTTAAGATACATTGTCAGTGCTATAACGAGAAAGAATATCCTCTATTAACATGTATCTAGATTTTCTCCTTGATTGTTTGGTTAATGATCCCAGCCTCGTTAGCTGCTACCAGGGAAGATCCATCCAGCAGCTAGAGGTCTGAGATGAAGATGAAGAATCATGGATTTCTAAATTGGAAAAGTTCAAAGGTAAAAATGGGTAATAAGGAAACGAAAAGAAAGATCTTTGTGATCATCATCCAAATTCTAGGGGGAAATAAAGAAATCTACG